GCTCCCTGACCGGCTTTCTGCCTGGGAATGTGTTTATGTCTTAGGACACAAAGGACACCAATACAGTACAGCAAACCCACTTGAAAGAGAACTCCAGGGAGTAGATTCAAATGAAAACTCAAACATTTCTAAAAAATTAAATCTATATATTAATCAATAAATAAGAGAGTGGGAAATGCAACGAGCCATTACAAGAATCTGTTAGATGTGCAGTGCATGAGTAAGTGTAAAGTGTAAAGCACCAAATGAAGGGTTGGCGAGGAAGAATCTTTAGCACTTTGCACACACCTGAAACCATGGACACCTGTAATAAAGATGCAGGAAATTTCAAGATGTAACAGAGAACATGGGTACAGAAAGTATCACTTCATGAAAAGGGATAACGTATCTCCCAGTGGGATATATTAAAATATAAAGGCAGAAAGTCAGTGGTGTAAGATACTTAAAATTAGGAAAATTATATTTTTCTCCTGAGTCAAATTAACATCTTTGAACTCCCTCTCTTTACTTGTGACTCTCTCTAGAACATTCCAGTACTTACTTAATGTAAAAATAAGTTCCCAGCTGAGAATGTAAACTGTCATCATTCTGCCAGGAGCCTAATTTGTTAGCAACTCAAGTGGCCACATGACGCTAACTCCAGGGCTACCACACCACTGTTCCCTGGGACAGAATCCCACAGACAGCCCCTGTCCTCCAAGCTTCCTGGCCAGAGAACGCGTGGTGGCACTTGCTAGCACTTTGAGTGGGATAAATTCAGCTCCAAGGAAGAAAAAGGATATGGTATAGCAGAATCGGAAATCTTTCCAACTAATTAAGGAGCCATGTGGGAGTTGTGCTGGCGGCGTTCTCATTTGTAAAGGAAGGAAGGACGCTTTTGCGAATAATAAAGAAAAGCAAAGGAAACAGTTTGCTGAATGCACATGGATTTGGAGCCGAGTCTCCCCCCTAATCATGCTGCCCATGAAAATGAGGTATCAAGCTCTTTTTCATGTAAGACCCTTCAGGTGGATATGATTTTTCAAAGGTCAAGATCAATATGACATCAAAGCCCCTTTGTTCTCTGAAGACAAATACTATCAGAGCCTCCAAATAAATAAATCAAATTAGCAGCTCAACTAGCTAAATTTCTTGATATAATGAAGAAAGGTTGTAAAACAGGTGGTGGCTGCTGCTTTTGTCTCCTTAACCGAATAATAGGATATTTACAGACCATTGGGGCTGTCACTCCAGATGTTTCCTCTTTGCTTTGCCATTACTCTGATAAAATACATTTCTTAAAATTAAAGACTCAATTACATGAGAGCATCAACCTGCTTCCCCGTCCACCTCCCCGAGACAGTGGGTCCATCATGGCCTAAAGACACACACTCCTGATCAACCTAGCAACTAAGAAATCCCTTCACCGCTGATGAAAGACACTTAGATAATAACACACTTACATAATAATACACTTGCTTACAGGGAAATCAAGGCCAGAATTCTGGAGGGAAAAGCATATTGAAAATTTAAGTTCTAAAGTGATCTGTGTTTATGTCAAACACATGTATACCTATACCTGCCATCAATTGCTGGAAAAGCTGAGGCAACATGTTTACATATGCCTCAATAAAATACATAACATAATTTTTAAAAGATGCTGTCATGTATACTCAAGTGACAGCATTCAGAAAAGTGCAAATTATGCCCCCCCTCTTCTCATTTTGCTAGAATAAAGGCTGGACACCCGTAGTCACTCTTACTCCTCAGAGTCTCATGTTCGTACTATTGTATCCTCAGCATCACTGTACTGAGGACACCATGCATGGGCTGAAATTCATATCAGCGGAGACACAGATATGGCCACACGATACTCATTCTTCCCTGGACAGATAGAATACACACAACACAGTACTCCAGGTTAGAACAAGCAAGGAAGACATCACAGCCTTCCAGAGAGAAGGACAGAACAGAAACACACAGAAACATCATTTCTTCAAGGTGGCCTTTTATCCTCTCTCTCCTTTTGATAGAAGCTGGCCTCATCCAGGACCTGACTCACCTGCTCCTTCTCCCTTGCACATTCACTTCCTTAATCATCATACCCTCAGGACAATGAGGTTCTGATCTGCATCAGACAGTCATAGGAACAAAGCCCAAGGTCTGTTGATCCCAGACACAGTTTCAGTCAAACCAGAGACAATATCTAGGTCTCAGTTGTGTTGCAGCTCCAGGCCCAGAAAATCTGGGAAACCAGATGAAGCAACACCAGGCTGACGTAGGACCAGATGCAATGACTGATGACCCCCTATTGCAGCGCCAGCCAATCAGTAGAAACTGTGACCCTAACTCCCTTAGTCACCATGACTGATGCTCCCCTGCCCCCCAATATAATCCATCCCTGAAAGCCTCTGGGAGCCAGGTCTTTGAGCATTAGCTCACCTGTGTCTTTAGTCCTCAACTAACAAACTCTTCTTGGCTGCAAAGTTTTGTTCCTATCTAATTGGGTGTTGATATGTGTAGGCAAACAGAACCTGTTAGTCCAGTAAGAAAACCTATGTAAACAGTGAAAGGAGTACAGGCATGTAAGGGGTTAGGAAGAAAGAAGGGGCAGGTCAGAAGCATCTGGTTTGTTGAGAGAACAATTATAATTGTCTGGCTAGGAAATAGACAGTTTAAAAGTTTATTTGGCACCACTCCACATCCACCCAAATTCTTTCTGAAGGTCTTATTATGGAAGAAACAAGTGTAGTAACCACAATCACTTTATTTGCAATAGCCTGAAGTGTGCTTGATTGCAAATAGGACTTGAGTGGATTGAAAAGGAGAGCAGGGCTTGGTGCCAGCCTTTGTCTCTGGTTATACTATTAGCTTTTACAAATTTGGAAGATTAGACTGATTTTAAAAAAATGATTTATACGGACTAAGAAGTGTATGTGATAGTCCTGATGATAGTCCTTTATTTACAAGGAAAGATGAAGGATCAATGGCTTGCCAATTTAAACCTCAGAGTGAACGCTGAATACCAGCATATTCTTAATGATGACTATAAAAGGTATTCATTAGTGCTGGCTTCTTTTACATAAAAATATGTTGCTAATGAATATAGGGCAGTGAAAATAATATCAATATTAATTGGTTAGGCATTCATGGCAGATGGTTCTGATAACTACAAAATAAGAGGTCCCTCAAAAAGTTAAGCTTACAATAATGATATGACCCAGAAATTCCACTCCCAGTATGCTTTCCCTCTATTAAGCACTTGTAAGATGCAGAGGTAAAAAGTTAAACAAGGTCAACTATGTGATGATGGAAGAAGATTTGATTTTGGGTGGTGGGCACACAGTGCAATGGACAGATGGCATGCCATAGCATTGTACACCCCAAGCCCATATAATCCTATTAACCCACGTCACCCCAATTCATTTCATTAAAAACCAAAACTTGATGATTTAAATTATGGCAAACATCATAATAATTTTCTTAGTGAATGTTTACAATTACATCATTGAATGAGCTAGGTTTCCAAATTAGACCTGGTTCATACAGTAGAATTAAACACACAGAAATGGTGAGCCCACTTAATAGGCAATATAATGGAAATAAATGCCATTCTGGAATTTGGGGACTCATTTGTATTTGAGAAAATATGTAATGTTGTGGACAAAAAGGAGATAGGAAAAGAGCATTTTTATGAAAAACAGTATCAACTAAAAGGGAAAAAGAAAGAGCTTAATAGGAAAATACACTCTGTTGTAGTTTTATCTTAAATTCCCATTCATTTAGCCCCAATTCCCTTAAGGTACAATTTTCAGTCAAAGCCACAGCCGTATTCATTCTCTTGTCCATCATTATGGGCTTTGTTCTTTACAATTTAATTGGAGGCTTTATATTAAAATGAACCTCAAAGCAATTCTGATGGTTCAGTTTTTCATTGCTTTAGTAATAAAATACCACTTGCTTTTATAACAATGGGCGGCCCTGTAATTACCATCAGGAGAAACAAAGAACCCAGCCTCCCTTTCTCCTAATGGTGTGAGTACAGTGTTGAAAACTTTCACAAATGAAACTGAAATGACCTTTGGCTAATTTGTAAGGAATTATAAGTCTAAGCTGTGGCCTCTCATGAGAAGTAGAGTTCTGTTACTTTCAGAAATACTCTTTGGCAAGTTATATATTACATATTCTCAGGTTCAACAGAGCCCCTATAGAGTAAATTATTCCTTCAGTGATGAAATATTCTTATTTATCTCTCAGAGCGTTACTTATGTTTAGTCAGGAATGTAAGAACTGTCTGATGGTCCAACGTCTAGCCTCAGCCAAAACTGTTCAGCACATAAAAAAAAAATCATAGAATAAATAATTGCATCTATCTACTTTTACTCTCTCTTTTGAGCAATTTCGAATGGCAATCATTTTAATTACAGATGGTGTATATGAATGCACGAGAGCAGCTGTTAATATGCATGTTTAAGACTGGAGAGTGTGGTGACTTATCTAGACACAAGGGCAACATATGTTGAGCTAAGCATACGCATTGTAACATGAATTACGATGTTAATACGCAGGGGCACAGAGGGACACAGCCAATGAATGCCTGTCTCCATTTCATCAGCTAACATTTTCTAACATATGCTAGAGAAGGCTTCCTATTATTTTAACCGAGGCAATACCATAGATCACGAACCTTGATAACACCTTAAATCAGCCTCAGACATTTTGAAACATGTAATTATTTTTCCTGTGAGTGCAAATTCAGAGGCTTTTAAATTTCTTTTTTTCTTTCCTTTTCTTTTCTTTCTTTTCTTTTAATTATCATTTAAGAGAGTAATTGGAAACAAATGAAAGTTAATAGGACCATCTTGACAAAACCTCAAAATATGGAAACAGTTTGTGTTTTCCTGCATTAAACATTTTATCACATTACATGTTTGATGGAGGAGATGGTTTAGTTATCTTGAATGCTATTAGTTAAGTTTACGAACTAGCTGGTCGGAGATAATAGAGAGCAAACACATTACCTTCTCTTGATACTGCCGCCGGGAGGAATCCAGAGACTGGATCAGAGCCGTGGCGTGGCCCACGAACATGGCGTAGCAGGTGGCGCCCACGATCATGCTGAGCATGGTGATCCACAGGTCCGACATGCTGACCGGGGCCTGCGCGCCGTACCCGATGCACAGCATGTGGCTCATGGCCTTGAAGAGCGCATAGGAATACTGCTTCCCCCAGGAGTCGTTCTGGAACAGAGGAGAGAACACGGACTGAGCCAGCATTTAAAAACAATATTGTGGTCTGATTATGTATCATACAATAAATAACAATACCGTATTATTGAGAGCAGAATAATAATACTGAATTATTGAGAGCAGAATAAAATGTGAGCATGGTCTTATGCGGAAGTATTCCAGTTACTGAGAGTGGAGACACCTGGCAATGCAGCATGTGCACAGATGTCTCTTTTCATGGCTCATAGACTGACTGATGGTTTTCCAAGCCTGCCTGGCACTATGATCTAGACCAGTGGTCGGCAAACTCATTAGCCACAGAGCCAAATATCAACAATATAAATTTCTTTTGAGAGCCAAATTTTTTTTTAAACTTAAACTATATAGGTAGGTACATTGTTATTAACTTAATTGGGGTTCTCATAAGCTGGTCTTTGCTAAAAGCTCAAGGGGCCAAAGAGCCACATGTGGCTAGAGAGCCGCAAGTTGCCAACCACTGACCTAGACATTGTCCACTGTTCAGACATGCCAGCCTATTCAATTTTAGGTTTGTTGTTTTTAAAACTAAAATCACTTTTAAGACAATGGTGTGAGCATCACATAAAAATGCCAAGGATGGATGCTCATGAGCTCATTTCAAAGTTTCCAGGAAATCTGGCCTTTCTAACATCCTTAATCTCATATTTCTTATATTTCTGAAGCCCATAATCTTATATTTCTTAAATAAAAAAATAAGCATTCTGAAATACAAGTCTGATAAATGGAAAGACTTCCCTACAAATGTTAGGGTTGATGATGAATCTCGTTGGCTTTTTAAAAAATACTAAAATAGATTAAAATAAGAAAATCATATCTTGGCAAATCTCTGGAGAAAAAAAGGAAGATGACTTCTGAGATTAGTTAGTAGATGCAGTTTATGATGTCACTTCAAAAGTTTATGTCAGCCAAAACCGGTTTGGCTCAGTGGATAGAGCGTCAGCCTTCGGACTGAAGGGTCCCAGGTTCAATTACGGTTAAGGGCATGTACCTTGGTTGCAGGCACATCCCCAGTAGGGGACGTGCAAGAGGCAGCTGATCAATGACTCTCTCTCATTGATGTTCTAACTATCTCTCTCCCTTCCTCTCTGTAAAAAAAATCAATAAAATATATTTTAAAAAAGTTTATGCCAACCTCAATTCTCCAAAAATAAGCTGTTCAATGTAACTTATCTACCCTATGATAAAATTATTATTTTTTTATTTAATTTGCATCAAATTCTCTAGGCCCAGACTTAAATAATTTATGAAGCCTACTATAAACTGAAACTTTGGACGTTATAGTTCAGAACTCAGAAAAAAAACACACCAACATTGTTAAAGATAAAATATATAAATATTTTTCCATTAAAATATATTATTACAGATCTTAATGGGGTAATAGTGACTGATTAGTAACAGCATAAAGGTACACATTTAAAAATAATATTGTGGTATGATTATATATAATAAATACTGTATTATTATAATACTTTATTATTATGATATCTTGATTGGTCACACACTTTTTCTGGTTTATATTTTGCAAAGTCACTTCCTTGATATCAAAATTCATTCAATTAGTAATTTTATTTTTAATGAAAAAAACGAAAGTGGCATCAGTTGCTTTTGGCTAACAAGATTACAAGTAATTCTTGCTGCTTTTTTTTAATTTCAAGAAAGATCTTTTTGTTGATGCAACTTTTCCTGGAGTTATTAAGAGCATTCTGTAGGCTGCAATAACATTGGGATAAATTTCTGATAAATAATTTTAACATATAAATATTAGTACATTGGAACTTATTCTCATAGAAGAATTTATCTACAAAGACAAAACACTTCATACAAAGTCAGTTTCATGTATGTATAAATGTGACTTAAAAATTAATCCTTGTATGTTAATTATAGTTTAAAATGCAAATTATAAAAAAAAAAATTGTGCTGTGCCAGCATGGTCATGGGTGAACCTGAGGGGTGGTGGTGAAGGATTAGGAAAGACAGACAAGAGCATAAAGCTGGGGCTACGTGGGATTAGAGAGACAGTGCCATGGCCTTCAAGCCAAGTCTTTATTTTATAGCCAGATTCCATGAGGCAAAGTAAGGGCATGATCAAGATATTTATAATGTTCTCCTGGGTTTGGAACCTACTCAATTATATGCACCTGATCAAGCTTTGTTTACTTGCTGCATTTCCTGGTCCATAAGGTCAAGCTTACAACTATAGCCTTTGGCTATACTTGTGCTGGGACTTGCACGTGGCTTTGTGATGAGAGGATTGTGCCCTTTCATTAGTCTGAGGCTTGAACCTGTCCAAACACTGTAGCCATTTTCCACAAATAATAGAGATGTACCCTTCACCAGTTTTGCCCAAAGGTTACATCTATAACATAGTGTCACAGTCAGGAAATTAACATGGAAACCATCCAGAGATCTCATCCACATTTTAATAATTTACATGTAGTCATATGTGTGAGTATTTAGTGTTATGCAATTTTATTGTCTGTGTAGGTCTGTGTCTTAATCAACACAGTCAAGATACTTAACACCTGCATTCCTTCTACTGCCTTTATACTGAATTTGATGTAAATGTCTAAATGGTATTTTAATATTTTCTCTAACATTTCTGGTAACTTGTTGAGGTCATGCAGGAAACCAAAAGTAGTTTTATGACTTGTATACAATCCAAAATTCCTGTTTATATATTATTTTCCCTTGTTTTCAATTATAAGAGTTTAATTTAAAAAATTATCTTCCTTGTTAATAATTAGGTCATTTACAGCTTCACATGAAAATAGTGTTATGTTCCATCAAATGTGATGATCTTTGAATTTAATCTGTATTTCTAGGCTGGTGGATATGTGCTTTGCAATGTTGCAGCTGTTTTCAAAACTGGGCATTGTAAGCAACAAAGAATTCTAATAACTCCCTCAAATGCTTTTTTGCAATGTCCATGAGTATTCTCTATTTTGTAGTAATTTATTGGCAGAGTTTATTGCCTGAGCTCTGAGGACACTGCCTTGGACTTAGGCAGAAGATTTAATATTTATGTGGAGACTACAGAAACAGGCTCCTGGGAGTGACAGGCAGCTGGCCTCCCACCTGGGTTCTCTCCCTGTCCGCCTTGGGGGTGCTCCTCCTATCTCGTTGGTGGCCACTGCTGCTGCTGCAGCTGCCATTGCCACTGCTAGCCTGGTGAGCTCTGCTTTGGTGACACTGGGCACATAGCAGCAGGCTCACACAGGCATCCCAGACTGCTGAGGCATGCCTGTGTGAGCCTGCTGCTTGGCCAACTGCTGGCTCTGCCCTGCCTCCTGTGCCTGCAGGCCCGGCCCTGTGTGTGCCCCGCTGCCCCCCGCAACCTCTGCTCATCATGTCCATGCCTCACTGTCCCAGGGGACTGCACTTGAAAAACATAAAATCAAAAATAAAACAATTAAGAATTTCAAGATAGCAGCAGCAGAGCATTAAAGCAAACACAGGGTCCTACTGACAGTATCTTGAGCAAGGTCACACCCCACCCACCGCCCAGGAAGCCATTCCTGCCTCAGTCAACTCTTGCATGATCAGAGATGTTTAAAGTTATTTAAAAAATATTAAATGTATGTGGGCATTTTATTCATATTGCAATGGGGTTTTCCAAAATCAAATTTATAGGATATAAAAATTGAACATGACTTTGGGGGTGATGGGCACACAATGCAATATACAGATCATGTATTGGTCAATCTTATTAACCAAATGTCACTACAATACATTTAATAAAATAAATAATGTTGACTTGTCTAATATGTAGCATTCATCACCAAATGTGCCCTCGTGTGTTAACATATTAGATTCCCCGAGCTCATGCTTCTCATTTTTCCATGTATCTTTCTTTATTCTCTGGAGGGTTCCAAAAAAGCTTGTCAATTAGAAACCCAATAAACAAACTGATAAGTAACAAAAATGTCTTGCTGGCTATTTGCAAACAACCAGTGTCCTTTGATAGATAACTGGGCAAAGAAGATGTGGTACATATAATGGCATACTACACAGCTAGAAGGAAAGATGAAATCCTGCCATTTGCGACAACATAGATAGATCTTGAGAATATCATACTCAGTGAAATAAGTCAAAAAATATTAACAAACATATGGTTTCACTCATATAAAACTGAAAGCAAGAAATGAACAAACAATAAAGCAAACCAACAAAAACTTGTGGACACTAACAATAGTGTGGTGGTTACCAGAGGGAAGGGAAGTGGAGAATAGTAAAATATAAAGGGGTCAACTCCATAATGATGGAATGTTTCATTTTGGGGGTGAGCACTTAATGCAATATACAGATGATGTACCATAGAATTATACACTTGAAAATTACATAATCTTACTAATCAGTGTCACCCCAATAAATTCAATTTAAATAATTGAACATTATAAGGTTTAAAAACTCAACCTTATAAACTTTGGACTTGCATGAAGATGCTGACAAAGATAACAAATCCCATTTGGTTGAAAGAGTTAAGTTTCATAAAATAAAATTCACTGTTATTTAATTCTAAAATGAGGTCAAGCTGCCATTTATATGTCTGTCTGTCCATCTATCTATTTATCTATCCATCCTTCTACTTACTACCTGTCCATATATCTACCTGAAGAGTTTCTCATAGATCAGCCAGTTTAAATTATAGAGAAGATATGTAAGATATAAGGAATATACTAGGAAACAGAGTAGAAGCTAGAATCAGAGGGGTGAGAATATTTTTCAAGGCAATACAGGAGCTGCTGAAAGTTTTTCAGCCAGAAGGATATCAACTGAACTTACTTCAGGAAGATGGATCAGGAAGAATTGTTGAGCAGTGGTTCTCCACTGAGGATAAATTTGTGGAGACAAGGTTGCTACTGTTACCAGTTGTATGCAGAAGATTCTGTGGTTTGAACCAGTTGCTCTGGCTCTAAAGACTATGCTACTAACGACTGCATGATATGGCTCTTTGTTTTATAAACCTACCATAC